AATATTATTATTATATATATATATATATATATATATATATATAATAATAATAATAATAATAATAATAATAGCTAAACTCATATTAAGATAAACATTACCAACAATAAAAATTTTGTCGGCATTATATATATATATATATATATATATTTGTTTTTGTCTTATGGCATATAAACCTTAATGGATTATTTAATGCCGACAAAATTTTTATTGCTGGTAATGTTTTTCTTCAAAAATCTATTTCTGGGAATATTTTTCCTTGAGGAAATCTGTAGCTGTTTGTACAGCTGGTATTTTTTTTTAGAATATTGTTGATAATAATTTTTCCTTCAAAAATTATTGCTGGTAATATTTTTTTTTTTATTACAAAGTATTTCTGGTATTAAAACCTATTAAGATATGTTTGGGTGTCAACTATTTGCCGATAGATGGGACCCTAACAGGTGCTACCACCCCGGGTCAGGGTGGACCTGGGAACGCAGGCAATTAAGAGGTGGTTCCACGCTTCTCAAAACCTCCTGGTGTCGGAAGTAATCTATCGTCTTACCCAGGACGCGGATGTAGTTTATCGTCATGCCCAGGACGGCATATATATATATATATATATATATATATATATATATATATATATGTGTGTGTGTGTGTGTGTGTGTGAGAGAGAGAGAGAGAGTCTTTGCGAGAGGTTAGCATAATATAATGGAAATAGAAAAAAGCAATATTTCTTATTCTCAGCATAAATGTCTCATATCTTTTGAAGGGTATGTCGTAAAAGATAGAATGAAAATGACGCTATATTTCTGTCGGTCGACGGGATTTTAACGGCACACAAAACGGTAGTCTTGTCTCTAAAGAGGCCAGGCAAGTCTATTTTCGGGTGTTTATTCCTTTTATTGTAGATAAGGGGGCTTTGTGAAAATATTCTGTTGAATTTACAATGATAAATGTGATAGGTTTTATTCATGTCAACTTCCGTTTTTGATTAATTGTCTTAAAGAGACGTTCGCTGATCAGACCAAAAATTATGCCGGCGATTATCAATGCTTAGATAATGCAACGTCCGCTAAGCAAAGGTTGATAACTCCTCCTATTGATTTTTAGCCACACACAGTCTAAGAATGATTCCAGCAATGACGTCTTAGACATAAGTGGTAGAAGTATTTAATAAAGACTAGCTGTAATTATATATTAGGAAATGATAATGATAAAGATATACCTAGCTTTAAACTTAAATGTTTCAGATGTGGGCCTGCGCTGTAATTTTCAATAGATGTGCTGTGTGAGGCTCGTAGGTTTGCCGCCAAATTTTTTAAAGGTCATTAATTAAATTATATTAGAAAGAACTCTAAAGCACATTAACTTAAGGAAAGTTACATATGCAGACCCTTGTTAACCTAAATATTTAATACCATAATGAAAATAAACATTGGGAAATCAGAAAAAACAAAAGAAAATCTAAAATTAAAAAAACACCCAACAAAAATTACTTTTCCTCAAGGAACGTCAAAATACTTCAAAGTGAAAAAAATCAACCGAAGTGAAATGGATGAAACTATGACGTGTAGGTTTGAAACTGTTATTGAAAATTGTTCCACAAACGAACCACACACACACACACACACACACATCAAACAAAAACGAAGCACATATACCCGTACACACGAGTGCAAATAGTTGCAAACATATACACTTACGTACGTACACATGCGGTATCATCCACACATTCATGAGGCATGTATGTATAATGCGCGTATGTTTAACTGTCTTTAGATTTCTGCTACCTCGCATGTCAGCCCCTCCCTGGCCTCTTTCACTTTATCGTTTCTTTCGCTTCTGTTATCTTTTAATGTAGCCAAGGGTCATAACAAATATGTATCCATTATTTGACATTAAACGTAGGCAACGCAACTTGGTAAAATAAGTCTCATGAAAGATAACTGGCAGATAACAGGCAGTCTAATTCGAAAGCCTCGTCTCTTATGTCAAAAATAGAGTCATTGGTAATCAGGCTCGCGGGCCGGTCAAAATGCCTTGCTCTACTGAATAGTCGACAAAATTAAAAACAAACAACGCGCATGCGCAAAATTAAAGATATAAAATCACTTTCGCCATATTAAGATCTATGAATTTTAGAAAGGACTTTGCGTTGGAACTCTGACAAAAAAAAAAAGACAAACATTCCAAAGTTTTATTTTGATTGTTCTTCAGATCTTCGGACGGTCAACAACTGGTCTGACAGATTTCATTGGGATGATTTTAACCTAAACGATCAACTACACTCCGGTCGATCTTCCGACGTTGATGAAGACGGTTTGCTTTCCACCGTGGAGAATAGACCAAAGATTTCGCCAGAGATTGCTAAGAGTTTGAAAATCGTTATCTCAACTGTCTTTTGCCATTTTAAGAGACTGTCGTTCAAGATAAACGACCGATTTTGCAAATTGTTTAGACTGTTGTTATTTGGCTTGTGATCCAGCTCTTTGGACATTCAAAACATGGCTTGGCAGATTACGTCAGGATGATTTTAACCTAAATATTGATCGTGTTTCTGCAGTGATTCCTTTGGTATGATGACACAAAAAGGAGCCGTTCTTTGACAGAATTGTCTCAGGTGATAAAAAAATGGCTTGTTTATGATAAAGTTTTTTGCAAACTGAGCTAGAATGGATGTCAGTTATCAGTTAGGTTCTGTTAATTTTCCTCTGAAAGTTCTCCACTGCCTTAACCGGGTATTGAACTCAGAAAAAAGAACTCAAGGAGACATGGCGCAGTGGATAAAGGCGTTGGTTAGATCCAGTGACAGGACCCAAAGAATGTGAGTTCAATACACGGTTAAGGCAGTGAAGAATTTTCAGAGGGAAATTAACAGGAGATAATTGATAACTGACATCCATTAAACATGGCACGTGGATCTAGAACAGTCTACAGTGAGCGAAATAAAGGGTTCAGTTCTACATTCCCACCACCTGAAGAAGGCCGGAGCGTACAACGGCCGAAACGTTGTAATAAATATGGCGACAAAGATGAGAACAATAGTCCGAATAATGTAAATAATGAACTAAGAACTGTAAGAAAAAACAGAAAATGCATCACTTGCGGACTACCAACAGAATCAACAACTAAAATGAGTTGCACATGTCACACGAAGAGAAAAGGTTGACATAATGAAGATGTTGATATTCCACACTAATTCAAACAAAAGTTTAGGAAGGAAATCTTCATCAATATAACATCGGTATAACAGCGACTGGACTTAAGAAATTCTGGAAAATTGTTTTTATACAGTGTACAGCACTAGAAGATTTTAGAAGACTTTAAAAATGAAAACAATGTACATGCTAGAGTCAACATCATTTTTGTAACATAGTAGAAAACAAAGTGGCTAATCAAAGCACAATATATCATCTTCTTAAATAATCTCGTTAGATCGAGACTTTCATATGGATAACATGGATGTCGCCAGGCCCGTTCAGAAAGGTCTAAACTGTCATCTAACCGTTGTCTCAGATAAATACCGAAAATGGCTTCGAGCGAACGTATCTTTTAGGACAATGCTTCATCAGAATTTATAAACTGATGCTTCAGAATTACACAAACAAAGCTTTATCAAAACAAAAAGAAACTCTTATGAAGTTGAAAGACGATGCTGAATCCATTGCTAGGTCAGATGCTAAGGCGAGATAGTTTTTTTCATTCCAGAATCTATCTTGCATATCTATAAGTACGTCCATGCTTAGAATATTGCTGCCACATATGATCTGATATCCTTGCTATTTACTTTGATATCCTTGATGAACTCCAGAAAAGAATCTGCAATATTTTTAGTCCTGATCTGACACCTCGGCTTCAGTCACTTAAGGTTACCTCTGTGGGTCTTTTCTACAAATACTTTCATGGTAATAGTTCGAATGAGCTTGTCGGTATGATATCTAGAGATTTTTTTTAAAATTAGGTGTGGCACTAGACTGGTGGCGAGATCTTCCTAATTTATATTTGAGCTGGCTAGATGTAACCGTAAATTCTATGCTGAGAGTTTCTTCCCTGGCATTTCTCGCTTGTGGAACTCCCTTTCGACTCTATGCTTTCCAGCCAACTTTTGTCTGCAAAAAATTAAATTCAATATCAATCGCTATCTCTCCGCCTGATTATGTTTTTTTTTCCCGTTTATTATTAATGTTTCTGTTCCTAATTCAATCACACCCTGTAACCCGTGTGTCTTAGTGGCTTTATTGCCTTACATGGGGTGATACCAATTAAAAGACTCCCAATTGCTAAAATAGAAAGAAAGTTTAATGAAAAGGGTGTCAATGATATAAACAAGTTGTTAACGTGAAACAATTCTTCTTCTATGTACCGTGACACTTCAAGAAGTTAACCGTCATGGCTCTCCACAACTTCCTGTCTTTTGTAGCTCTTAATAAACTTCTTTCTGTTATTTCTCTTAAACTTTGTTCTGCAATCCGTTTACTCAAGTTCACTAAGTATGTAATGCGTCTTTTTTCTCTGTCTCCCTTACCTTCAATCTGCCTTGGAAGCATCAGATTTTCCAAGCCCGCTTTCTTCACTATGTGTCACAGAAATTTTAACTGTCAGTTCCTGATGTTAAGGATAAGTTTAAGTTTGCTTTTTGCTTCCACAAAAAAAATAAAGAAGTTACCCGGAGCAAGATCATGGTGAATAGGGAGGGTGTTCCCGTACGGCGATGTTCTATTGGCCAGGAAATGCCGGATGCTCAGGGCGTTGTGAGCATGCGCACTGTAGTGGCGAAGTAGCCACTATTTGTCCTGTCACAAAAGTATGTGAAAAATAAAATAAAATGGTTACAGAAATCTAAGATGACAGTTACATACCCCGATTTTAACATGTTAGATGATATACAATCCGATTATCTCTGTTTCGTCCATGGCTCACACGGCTCACCAGGTCCAGTTATTTTTCAGACAGACCTCGTATTTTTATAATGTATATTTTGGATTTACACAGGCATAATAGACGTTCTTGGAAATATGTTCTCTGGTGTCGCTAAGGTGGAAGTTGCCTAGCGTTTTCTTAGAAAGCTCTCGCACGGGAACTGAGTACAAATTAGTCGAGGTCTCCTCTTTTCAATTAGATTTCGCCCGTGGACGCGTTAAATTAGGCGAAAGTAAATTTCGCTTAGCTAAGAAACGGTAGGCGACGTCACCTCACCGCTGCGCCGCCGGCACGGCCTTGCTTTCTCGAGTCTTGTTGCTTCCTCTGTTTCTCGAATTTCCCGTTCCTTTCCGCCCTCCACGCAAACCGACCCCTTCAGCCGACCAGCTGCCTCACACCTTTGCAGAATGTTGCAGGCCGGTGTCCGTTTTACGATAAGCTAAATCTGGAGTTTGTCAATACACGACAATGTCGACGTGGAAGATTTGGATGTGGGCGGTGGCGGTGACCGTGGTTTTGGGGGTGGGAATTGAAAGATGAGCGGAGGATGACGAACGGATGCGTTTGGAGTTAGGGAAACGGATTCAAAGAATACAGACTAAATGGACGCGAAGCGAAAGCAACACTTACATTTATTCTTGACCACTGAAAATACCTCTCTTTTTGATTGCAATGCATTTATCTAGAAAGGTCGTAATATATCAGTATGTATTTTTATTAAGTAAAAAGTTACAGGAAGTTGTGGAGAGCCATATCTGAACGGTCATACCACATAAAAGAAGAACGATCCTTTCTTTACACTGGTTGGTGTAATGAAAGGGATCGTCAGCTGCTTACAACATCGAACAAAAGTTATAACTGGTGACCCAGAAACATATGGACAAGAAATGGTCAGTATAAGCAGGTACTACTTAACAACTACCCTGGGTAGATGACAGCCTCTCCAGCAAACTGAGCTACAAGCGTACAAGAGGATAGAAAACAGCTTCAGTCTGCCTACCCTATGTAATGGGATTATCGGGAAAAATACAAAAAAAGATCTGTGGTCCATACAACATCAGGACAACCTTCCGAAGTGGTTTAACATTTCGCATACACCTCTTCCGAGTAAGATCGACCACCATAGAGGAGAACATGACTAAGGACTGTGTATACGTCATCCCGTGCAGCTGTGGTAAAAAATATATAAAGGAAAAACAGACCGCCCTATTAAGGCAAGACTGCAAGGGCATCATAAAGCGGTAACACGAGGGGGGGATAGAAAAATCAGGCGTAGCTGACCACATATGGAGGGAAAAGAAAGATCACCGCCCCCTGTGGGATGAGATTGAAATAATAGACAGAGAACATTACTGGAAAATACGAAAACTTAAGGATTTAGCACATATGCTACACCACAAAAATTTGCTGAGCCAACCAAGTATAGAAATGAATACAATGAGGAGAACAGAAATAAGGAGTGCCAGAGAAAAATAATGTATAACAAAAAAAAAAAAAGCGAAAAAAAAAAGCAATATACCCCTCTGGAAAAAAATATCTAATAATAATAATAATAATAATAATAGGAGAAAAATTGCAACATGAGCACTGGTAAAAAAATTATAACTGAGACATTAGGTTTATAAATTCTAGAAATTCATAGACAAGGACACAGGGATAAAGGCGTTGGTTAGATACAGTGACTAGACCCAAAGATTTGTGAGTTTAATACCAGGTTACAACAGTGGTGAAACAAAAACCTTGGAGAGTTGATTTAAAGGGAAATAAGTGAGAAATTCGGAAGAGGCATAGCACGTGGAACTAGAAATAATAGCTTCGGTTCGAGGAAGGCCAGAGCGTATGACGGCCGAAACGTTGCGAATATGGCAATGAAGATAACAGTCCGAATAATGTAATCATAATGCCTCATCTCAGAGATATAGACATTATCTATCTATCTATCTATCTATCTATCTATCTATCTATCTATCTATCTATCTCAGCCTGTTCGTATCTATCTATCTATCTATCTATCTCACTCTATATCTGTTTGTCAATCTATCTATCTATCTATCTATCTATCTATCTATCTATCTATCTATCTCAGTCTGTTCGTATCTATCTATCTATCTATCTATCTATCTCAGTCTGTTCATTTTCTATCTATCAGATTTATCGGCAAATAATATCCGACTGGGGAATCTATGTTTATTCCTGAATTAACGTATTTAAACATAGTTTAAAATCACTGAAAATAGAAAACCTGGACATCTATGTATTTCTGCATCGAGTTACAAGTTTGTTTGTGCATTTATGGTAAAACGCCAAGAAATCTTTGAATATACATAATCTAACTTGCAACTGAATGTCTTTTGAATGATTTTAAATGTGTTAATTTAGACATCATAGAATATGGTGGATATGGCAAAGCACCTGATGCCAAGCCTGCGACCTTCCGCCATTGCATTATCGCAACATGTAGCCGAGGATTATCATGTAGCAGAATTGGACGTCGCCGATTAACCAGAGCCGGTGGCATTTGGCTTAACTGAATGTGACTTTCATTCAGTGCTTGGCAGTAAACATTGGCAGTCATGTTCTTGTTAGATAATAGATGAAGCCGATGGCGAACAACAATAAAGTCGCTATAATCTAATGTTGGTGCAATTTCGGTTTTGGAAAGCGTTTAGGTGTTTTTCTTATGATCAAGGCACTGGCTCGATCTTTTACGATTGCCATAAAGGATCCATTTCCCATCGCAAGTCACTATTCAATCAAGAATTGGAGGATTCGAATTTCGCAGATGCAGCAATGAACACATTTCAAAATGCCGAACACTTTGACTTTCACAGAATAATGTATCGCAGTCTGTTCCATTCTATCTATCTATCTATCTATCTATCTATCTATCTATCTATCTATCTATCTATCTATCTCATTCTCTTCATATCTATCTATCTATCTATCTATCTATCTATCTATCTATCTATCTATCTATCGCAGTGTGATGCACCATGTCTCAGCGTGTTCAAATCTATCTATCTATCTATCTATCTATCTATCTATCTTTATATCTCTCGCTTTCTATCTATCTATCTATCTATCTATCTATCTATCTATCTAGCTAGCTAGCTAGCTAGCTAGCTACAGTGTGTGGTGGATAAATTATCGCCGTTGTATATATTTTTTTATTTCGCGCATGTGCATATAGCAGGGTCAGTTGGGCAGCGTCTATAAGAAAAGAACCTAATGACTTTATTCTCTCGGCAGGAAATTTGGAAAGGACATGTTGTACAGCTTGGCATTTCAGAGATTTTGGCTGTCAATCTGAGATCAGTCTGTTGAGTTTAATGTTGATTACGAAGGTGTTTGGCACCTTTTGATGCGACCACTAGTGATGGCAACATTGTGTGTCACCTTCTCACAATTCCCCTGAGTAGGCAGTGCTGCCCCGTATCAATAGATTGGCAGAACCAATGTCTGGCAACCGGACACTGCACCATGGCACACAAGCAGCAGAACACCGTTATGTCTGTCAGACAATCTCTGCGACCACATCACCTCCTACTCCTCAGACTGCAACACCCCACATTGATTATTATGTCTGGGGCACAGTTGGGTGAAACTCCTTGTAACACCAATTTCCGGCAACGATTATGGCGTCCTTCACGAAATTAAAGAAGGAGACCGCCCAGAGGAGTTGCAGGAGATTCCGAAGTCGTCTTGAAGATGTGATTGAAGCCAATGTCGAATTTATTGAATAAATTTACACTTTAGTATTTCAAGATATTTTTGTGTAATTTTGGTAAATATATCTGTTAAAATGAGATGTCAGTGCTATTTTCATTTTTGTGTAATTTAGGCGACAATTTATGCATCATATATATATATATATATATATATATATATATATATATATATATATATATATATATATATATATATCAGTGTATTTCAATCTCTCAGTGTGTTGAAATGTATCAATCTATCTCTCATTCTATTCATATCTATCATTCTATCATTCATATCTATCTATCTATCTATCTATCTATCTATCTATCTATCTATCTATCCATATCTCTCATTCTATCTATCTATAATATTCATATCTATCTATCTATCTATCTATCTATCTATCTCTCATTCTATTCATATCTCTCATTCCATCTCAGCCTATTCGTATCTATCTATCTATCTATCTATTCATATTTATCTATTTATATCTCTCATTCTATCTATCTCGATCTGTTCATATCTATCTCAGTCTTTTCATATCTATCTCTCTATCTATCTATCTATGTATCTATCTATCTCAGTCTGTTCATATCTATCTATCTATCTATCTATCTATCTATCTATCTATCTATCTATCTATCTATGTCATTTGGATCATTTCTACGTAACTTTTTTAAGCCTCGAATAGGATCATGAATCCCTTGTTTAATGACGCTATGTAAATCTATTCTTCTCAGATATTGGTAACTGATTCTCCCCACGCCCCCGCACCACCCCATCGCTGTATCGATTAAGAAGGATTTTTAATTTCCGGCTTCAGCTCAGGCTTTCTGAGGTTTTTTTTCCCTCTATATGCATTTTTTGTTTCTTTCCAAATTTGATTCAATTGTTTACTTTCTCTTGCTTTACCAAAATCATTACTCCATCCCGGTCGATTTCGTAATGTTTTTTTTTTTCTACCTTCATCAAACGTAAATCATCCTTGTCTCCACTTATTTAATCATTGTTTTTAATTGAAGCACCTTCTATCTCTTTCTGCCAAAGCATGCCGATGCCTGAACAAGTTTGTCTTTGAGAAAGCAATTTGTTTTCAGTGTTCTTTGTTGTCGGATTTTCCCACACCCTACCCCGGTGATCTGTTTTCTAATAGCAGTTTTTGTTTTGACATTTGATGGATTGATGAAGAAGTTACCCAGCACCGACTTTTGTGCAATGTTGGCGAAATCGTAGAAGTGTATCTGAAGCTTAACTGATCATGTTGACCATGTTTGCCGTAGTCTCAGAATATGGACGTCCGTAATGTCATCAATATCAGAGGTTGGCAGTGAAGATTCAGAGAAAGTAGCGGCTGTTAATTCTTTACGTCTTCGATATCAGGTTGGCAGTGAAGATATTTTGGGAGAAAAAACAAAATGGCTGCCTTTATTCACGTCGCATTGAATATTTTGAGCCTTCTGGTTGGTTAACCCTTCAATTGGTGGACTATAAAATGAGTCAGCTCATTTTGACTGGCTCACTAGTACACCAGGGTACCCAAAAATTCTAACACATCAATGCCATGAAGTATTCATCTTAGAAATGTTGAGGAAGGTTTCGATACCTCGAGAGAAACATGTAAACTCGAAACGCTAACCATGATACATATACATATATATATATATATATATATATATATATATATATATATATATATAATCCTATATTTCTGAGATGAGGTATTATGTACATTATTTACACTATTCGGACTAGAGTCCTCATATTTGTCGCCATATTTATAACAACGTTTCGGCCGTTGTACGCTCCGGCCTTCTTCAGGTGGTCGGAATGTCAAACTGAACCCTTTATTTCGCTCACTGGGGTAGACTGTTCTAGTTCCACGTGCCATGTTTAATGGATGTCAGTTGTCTGTTATCTCCTGTTAACTCCCCTCTCCAAGTTCTCCATGCCATAACCGGGTATTGAACTCACACATTTTGGGTCCTGTCACTGGATCTAACCAACGCCTATATCGGTGAAACTTTTTTTAATTAAAGCGAATCACATGTGAATTGATTTAAATTTCCTCACCTTCCTTCTTTTCATATATATATATATATATATATATATATATATATATATATATATATATATATATGTGTATGTATGTATAATTAGAGAGAGATAGAGAGAGAGTATACCCCAAAATGCATGCACACTTCAGCAAAAGACGAGTTTTTCGAAATTTTATCAATAGTACTGGATATTTGCGTCCTGGACAATTGCGTAACAGAAAATTCTGTCCCTAGACAAATGCGTCTCTGGATAATTGCGTACCTCTGATAATTTTTTGAAGTTACCATTTTTCTAAAGAGTTGTTTAATACAGAAATTTGCACATCAATACCTTTAATTACTATAAACAAGCAGAAAGATAGTTACCATAAATAAAAAAAGTGAGAGAGAGAAAAAAAATTCCTTTTTTAAAGCAAGAGAATATTAAGCTAGCAGTTTCAGTTGACTCCAGCAGTGCGTACCACACCCATCTAACAGATCCTGGATTTTATAGATTACTAGCAGGCTTCGCTCGCTCGCTATCGTTTCGCCATGTAAGATATATTAACTACTTGAAATCTTTGAAACAAAAATTTTAAATGAATATTTCATTCATAAATTGGCTTCTTATGTTTAAGGAAAGTTTTACAAATAGATGCCAACTTGTTGAAGGCCAAGTAAAATGCAAATTTCCAACATTTTTCTGCACTATATAAGACGATATTCCTAAACAGATGTATTTTTGATATGAAAATCTTCGAACAGTAATGAAATAAACTCTTTTTTTTTAATCATTATGCAAATTAGCTAAACCTGAAGTGGGGTATTTCCCAGAAGTAGATAATATATAATACAGGCATTCAGCGCTAACGTGTAAATTCCTATAAAGTAATTTGTACGTATTATTTATCATCTCTCAGTTACGTCTCTGGGGCTTCTCTGTCAAAGGACGGAGGGGCAACTGAGGAAAATTATACTGAAGAGGTGCCCAGCCCTGGGGAACAGCTTCCCGAGGCCGCGCCCTCCCACTGCACCAGGAGGAGAGATCGGTTGCGGGGCCTTTTTTGATATGAAAATCTAAACAAAACTTGAATAAAAGAAAAGCAATTAAAGTGAGTTAATTAATGAAATGAACTTTTTAAACTCAATATGCAAATTAGTTAAACCGGAAGCGTGATATCATATAGAAATTGATTGATCTTTTTAGCGTATAAATTACTATAAAGTAGAATTGTGGCTTGTGAGCCCTCCCCAAGCTTTTGTGTACCTAGTTAATTTGAGTAAATGTTGTTCCTGGCCTGTTTCCGGCTGCCTATTTGGTTATGATCCAAGTCGAGATTCCCAACCTCCCCACTTTGTTTTTGGCCCCTTTTCATCTCGACTGGGTCACCTTTTTATTTCCCATGTCTATATTTTCACTTTTCCCACTCCCTTAGCGAGAGAGTTTCTTGATTTTGTCCAATGGGCAGAATACAGCGGCCTCTCTCCTTCTTGAGGGTTCGACGGGCCTTACTAACATCAGTTATGTTTAGTTCACCTTGTGTCTTTGTTTTGGGGGTTCATTCCCTCCCCTCTCATTTTTCATCATAGAATTGTAAATATAATTAATTATCATCATTAAAACTTTTATAGCATGGGGCGCGTTTTGTAGGACCCCCTTGAGAGGATGCGGTATTATGGTGTATGGAGGATTGATTGGTGACGGGTGAGTTTTTGTGGTGAATGGGCAAATTGTAACGAGTGAATGGGTCGTGAATCGGATTAGCTAGGTATAAGATAGTTAGTGATGACCAACCTCAATCTCTCCTCTTTTTCGGCCTTGTACAGCAATTGTATTTTGTATACAATAAATAACTGTAGAATGGGGGATTTTTAATCCCAGAATTAATGGGAGAATTGTGCTCCAATTTCACATTTATTCATTGTTGAAACTTGACTAATGCATGAAATAATAATACAACACAAAATGTACTTAGAACAAAATGTATTGAAACAAGAAAGTGTACACAATATTTACATATAGTCTTTTGTATATTCTTGGGAAGACCGTCCCTGGAGAATGTGTTGACTTAGTCGCAGTCGGGCAGAGTCTCTGGATTGAATCTCTTGATTCCTTCCTCGTCTTCCCGGTACCAACCATATTTATATGATCGGTACTCAACAATGCAAATTAGGTGGATCCTACCACAACATTCATATAGATTCCACAATATAGGTTTTACCTAATTAGCTATTATGTTTCTCTAACTCTTCAAATGTTGAATATATAACTAATTCTAATTTTTATTTTCCCATCTTTACACTATATTAATTTTATCTTATAAATTGTCCCCTGTTCTGTCACCCATGAAATAAAGATAATTGATTGTACGGAAAATAAGGACCTACGTACATCAAATCGTCTTTAAATTAAGTGGCAGCAGAAGAATTATCGTTGAACTTTAAACTTTATTTGGAACCCATCGCTAAGTTCCGTAAATCAACCACCGGTGGAAAAATATTTGTGGACGAGGAAATTTACAGCTGTTACTATCATAAGAAAACCACCGATGAAACAAAAAACATACTGGCGATGTGTAGCGCGATCTTGACAACACTGTTAATCTGTCATCGCATTTTAAACAAAAAATAAGCTTTTAATTTTTATTTTATTTTATTCTTTTTATTTCTTTTTAAAAAAAATATGATTGCTACCAATGATGTCTTGCAAAATTTGTGGCAATCGCATTCAAAAACTTTCAGCTAAAGGTCACCAATTATCCAGGGACGCAATTGTCCGGCACGCAAATGCCCTTTACTCAACTGACCTAGAACCCAGTGCCATACGTGGACTTTATGGAAATGATGGCTTTTTCTTTCAACAAGACAGCACAACTCCACACCCCCAAAAGGACGTGTAAGCTTGTCCCAATAAGAATTTGCAATTACAGTGGCTTGGGCGAAGTGGTGAAGTTGAACACCCCTCCCACACATTCTCCTGATATAACACCTGGCGACTTTTACTCATGGGTGACCCTAAATGATGTTGTGTATCGCAGGAAACTGAATACATTGGGACTTAGACAAGAAATTGAAAATGCAAATTCAGCAGCTCCACTTGTCCAGCCATGGGAAAAAATCTTGGTAGTACTCGGGAACGCATTCTCCTGTGATTCTGTTCCAGAAGAAGCTTTTCGAGTGGAACTTCCTCCTTACTAATGGAATACAAGAGGAATGAAGGTGGTTCGTCTGAATGTATCGATCAAGACTGAGTACAAATTTGTTCCTAAAAGCAATGATCGATCAGCAAATTAAAACAATCGATATACATTTGAGTTTATTCACATAGAAAAATGTATATGCATCTATGGGTGTGTGTATCTCTACGCGTGAGTGTATGTATGTATGTGAATATGTATTTACCTGTATATATATATATATATATGTGTGTGTGTGTGTGTGTCTGTAAACGTAACTGCATGTGCGTGTGTATTTGTGTGCATATAAAGAGTCCGCCAAAAAAAAAAAAAGAAATTGGTTGGTAAAAAAAGTTTATACAAATTTCAGGAAAGGAAAACCTTATCTTTTGCCGTTATACCAAATTGCGAAAACATTGTTTACTGTATTACGATATTTTTTAGGCAGATGGCTTTACATCGAAACACATTGAAAATGCATGCGCTGCAGTTCGACTGGGCACTACAGTCAACGTTGTTCACCATCAGTTCATCAGTTAGCTTTAACCACATGTTAGATGCAATTTTTTTTATATGACAATGATGTTCATCATTTACAAGGCACAAGAGCCACTCAAGGTAGAGGATTACGGAGTAAGAGGCAAAGTTTATGCGGATATACGAGGAAGATAACCGTCGACATTAGACTTGAACAGAGACATTGGGGAAAATATACTCTTTTGAGATTTTTCCACAAAGCAGCAGTTTGTGGGAAGAAGCTGACATCTCACCAATGGGATATGAAGGGAATGAGGGTGGTTCACTACTATGGGTGTGGCATAGTGGGTCTTAGCCATGAAAGTTAGAACTGGTGAACACTTTCCATGAAAATAGTGGTAGAACAACGAGATATGGAATAAAAGAGGAAGCTACCTACACTGGAGAAATATTGCTGATGGCATTATTGTAAAGTTATTCTTGAAAGCCATGTACAGTAAGTTCATTCCTCACTGATGTTCTGTCTGTATAACTGTGTACCGGAATTGGTGTTGGTAAATAAATCTTTGCTATGTTTCCGAAGAAATACAAAAAGATCGGCTTAAAAAGAAAATATGGAAAATTCTAATTTTTGTCTTCTCGATTCAGCACCTGTTTTTATTTTTATTCTGTATTTTGTTTCAGAATATTGTGTTGCTAAATCTCTCAAATACAAAAATGTTTTGAAATTTGTTTTTTGAAAACAAAGTTTGCTTAATTAATGTCTGGAAGCTTAAGGCCACCATTTTGAGCATCTCTTTTGATTGTAGAATCCAAAGTAACATATATTAATCTCGTGATATCTGAACAAAGTCAGTATTACAATATCTATACGAAATTTCCAGTTCCTGAAGGGTGTATACATTTTTTGGTGTCTATGTATCTCTCTCTCTCTCTCTCTCTCTCTCTCTCTCTCTCTGTATACATATATATATATATATATATATATATATATATATATATATATTTAAACATAGAGAGCCAGACAAACCTACCAAGGTTTCACCTAAGCGCATTGTCAAGCAAAGCCTGGCTTTCGTGACGATCCGCTTACGTGAAACCTTGGTAGGTTTGTCTGGCTCTCTAAGTTTAACTAGGTCTGCTCTACCTACTGTATTGAGCACTTTATTTAGTTATTTTGCTTACTCGTATCGGGTTTTTCTTCTTTGGGTTTTGGATTTGCATACTAGACGATTATTTTCGGCTGACGTACATGTTCTTCGTTTTTTCTTTTTTATAGCTTTTTTTTCTCTTTGGCATTGGTTTGATTATTTGCAAATCAACACAACGAAGGTTTTCCGAAGGAGTATAATTTCTTATACTTACAAGATTAATAATAATACGGACTGATTTGATGTTTAGGTGAAACCTAGGTAGGTTTACCTGGCTTGGTAGGTTTATCGTAGGTTTGCTCTGCTTCGTGTATTGAGCACTTTAAGCAGTTGCCTTTACTCGATTTGGAGGTTTTTTTCTTTGGACCTTGAGCTTGAACTCTGGACGATTGTTTTCGCCTTAGTTTTATGTTCCTGGTTCTTTCTTTTTTTATTCTTCATTTTTCTCTTTGGTATTGGCTTATTTATTTGCAAATGAAGACACCGAACGTTTTCCGAGCGGGTATAGTTTCTTATACTTATAAGATTAATAATATATATATATATATATATATATATATATATATATATATATCATTAACTTCACTAATCTGTTTTTTTTGTATGAATGATTCATGTAATATAAATTGAACTGCACCACATATTTGATTTAAAAAGAACTGATCCGACGTGCAACTTCTGGGATAATAGCTGCGACATCGCTCTATTTATTGAACAATTTAGTTCATGCCACATCGACTGAAAACTACTACTACGACAAAAGAATTCTCCAATTACCATATTAGTAAAAAAACGCACTCTCTTTTAAATTTTCAAAAAAATCAACGTTGGCGTTGCGACTGCACGCTCCAGAATCTTACAGTTAACAATAACACATTTCTAAAAAACATATTTTGATTCACATCTAATCTTTCGTGTCCCGTTATTACCTGGGTGTATTATAAAAAAAGCAAATCAGTTTCCATGCCTGATGATGTCTGTATGAAGAGATGAAAGTACTTGCAAAAAAAGACCTCATACAAGTTGAATTTATTAAAAACAGGGATCACAACATTCATCTGCAGGTTCGTAGGTTAATGTAATTTTAATAAATTTGTTTGTGAAGATGTATTCTCGCCATCTATATCATTAACTTCACTAGTCTGTTTTTTGTATGAATGATTCATGTTATATATATATATATATATATATATATATATATATATTTAGGCAGTAATTTTTCATTGATGCATATTTCATTAAATAATATAAAGTATTGTCTATTTATTTTAAGTAAGTTCCTTTCATATTGTCTGATAAGCTTAATAACATTATCATTGAAAGACGAAAGGAAATCACCATATTGATACATGTTTAAATCCAATCTAAGCCATTATCAAAGATGACAATTACTTTTCAGTATATCAACCAATACACGGACGAAACAATAATGATAGTCTGTTGTTGTTGCATGAAAAATTTCAAAGCAACGACAAACTCGTGTATACGAGACGCGGAAGCGAAAATAGCGTCGCAGCTCGTGACGTCATGTGTGACGTCACGAGCTGCGATGTGATGCGATTTTCGAACATATTCGACGCGAATTTCTATACACATATATATCGAGCGGTGACAGTTTGTTTAACGCGTGAACGTAATCTGAAGGCCATGTGTGTTGTGTTTTGGCTCGACTATTTATATATGCTGGCCATTATAAGAAGTAGAATCTTTTGTATTATCTTAACAGCTATTGTGTAGGCCGGACAGAACGGGTTCTATAACCTTGGAAGGCAACTGGACTACCGCAGAAAGAAATGGCAACCTACTGCGGGAAAAAAAATTTGCTTCGTCACATACATGATCACCTAAGTATGTATCATGCATGGCACATGACAGACTGACTGACTATAAGTGATGAATTAGACTAATTTTAGGGGAAACATAATTGTTAGTATCGAATACATTTGGGTTGCGAACGCGTGCAGGTTTAGTTAAAGACTTAGTATTGTTATGGGAATAGCGTTTAAAACGTATAAAACATCTGGGTTAAACTATGCAACAAAGAAGCCAGCTTACCGAGTTAGGAATCCAGGGAAGTAACTCGAATCGAAACTGGAGTAAAATGACACCAGTATATAGGAGGGAAGCGTGAAAAGGCTTTTTATTTCATTGCCTGACGCTGACTGACGTATGTCAATAAGAACAGTCAGACTGCTAGCCAAGACGGAATATTTTTTTTGCAATGCCGAGTTGCCTAGCACGACGCTTTCAAAGAAGCAGCCTGACGCGTCCGGAAGATGGTTGGGGTTGCTGTACATCTACACATCTACATACAAATGTAGTAAGTGTACTCACAAGCACACGCACGAACACAGAAACATAAATTCTATCCACTATTTAAATTAATTTCATTTTACGAGACCAGCCATTCAAAATTAACTCGTATTATTTATTTGAAATTCCTTCCTAGTTTCGTGATATTATATTATATGAATTCTATTTTTGCATTCTCTCATACTCACCCCTTTCTTCTCTGTGGATTTATTGCCTTACTTGGGGTGAGATGATTAAAAAACAAACAATTGCTGATTTCCATAAAAGCCCGATATCGAATAGTGACATTTCCAAAATCGGTCATAAATATCTTCAGTTTTAAACAATGGATAATAACATTTATGAAATTACTAGAGCACTGTGTCATTATCGTTGTCAAGAGAAGATAAGGTAAATACACAACATTTTTGAAACCGTTACGATGACATCATTATTATAGTTTTTATCAGTAGATTTTAAAATTCAAATTTCAAAGAGTATACGCCGTGATGGAGACAATGGCATAGACAAAGCTTTCTCACATTCTAATAATGATAAGATACCTGTTGAAAAATGCAGAATCACATCCAATGAAGTATTTATCTGTGTACCTGTCCAATCATACACACGAGTAAGTATAATATACACTTTCTTTCTTTCTCAGTGTATTCTGTGTCAACTTATCTATCTATGTCAGTAAATTCATATCTATCTATCTATCTATCTATCTATCTATCTATCTATCTATCTATCTATCTGACAAAGTCTGTTCACAAATCTATCTATCTGACAAAGTCTGTTCACAAATCTATCAAAGTCTGTTCATAAGTCTATCTATCTATCTATCTATCTATCTATCTATCTATCTATCTATGTGTATTCCGTGCCTATCTATTTATCTGTCAGTCTATTAATATCTATCTATCTATCTATCTATCTATCTATCTATATGTCTGACAAAGTCTGTTCACAAATCTATCAAAGTCTGTTCACAAATCTATCTATCTATCTATCTATCTATCTATCTATCTATCTATCTATCTATCTATCTATCTATCTCAGTCTTTTCCTGTTTATCTATCTATCTATCTATGTGTATTCCTTGTCAACCTATGTATCTATCTATATCAGTCTATTCATATGTATATATTTATGTATGTATCTATCTATCAAAGTCTGTTCACAAATCTATCTATCTATCTATCTATCTATCTATCTATCTATCTATCTATTTCAGTCTTTTCCTGTTTATCTATCTATCTATCTATCTATCTATCTATCTATCTATCTATCTATCTATTTCAGTCTTTTCCTGTTTATCTATCTATCTATCTATCTATGGAATGGTATCCAAAACAAATTGAATATGGATTGGAATCCGGCAGAATGATAGAAAAAAAGTTTATCAATCTAACATTTTCCATTTTGATTAACGATTCCACAGAGAATGAGATATGGAGACGAAAGAAGAAAGATATGCTGTTATTTTTTGTGTTCTTTCGTTTTCCCTGGATAATCAAGCCTCACGTGAATTTAATTTGTTAAAAGAATCCAAATTCAAGGAGAGATGAGGCGTCTTTTCGAAGCTGCAAGGAAGAAACGGTCTGGCAGATGAACTAGAATGACATGCATATGGCTTTATGTATGATGATTTTCTAAGCGTAGCTTAGATATGGCACAAGGCCGAAAGTGTGGCGCACCCAGTGAAGAACGAAACCACTAATCAGTCGTCAATCTGGTAAGGCAAGATTGCTGACCATTACTACACGTCGATGCGCGACACTGTTTTATGTATGTAGGTGTATCATAATTCTTGTTTCTCTGTGTGGGACTTAGATGATAATGTGTATTCGTAAGAGTGTGTGTGTCTGTGTGTCGCAGTACCGGGGATGAAAACTCAACAGAAAAACTGCCGTCAAAATAGAAAAGACAGAGGGAAGCGACGTCACGTGACTGATGACGTGATTCCAGGTAAGTACCGATAATATTAGAGACTCTTATTTGGATTTTGTCGAGTAAAAAAGACAACACTAAGTAGAGCAAAACTTAAGATAATCCTAAGGAGCCAGGTAAACCTACCTAGGTTTCACCTAAACGGATCTTCAGGCTAAAGCCGGCTTTACCCGGACGATCCTAGGTAGGTTTGCCTCGCTCCTTAGGATTATCTTAGGTTTTGTTCTACTTAGTGTATTGAGCACTTTACGTAGTTGTCTTTTTATACGTTTTAGGTTTTTTTTTCTTTGGACTTGGAACTTAAACACTTGACGATTGTTTTCGCCTTGGTTTAATGTTCTTGGTTCTTTCTTTTTTTTATTCTCCATTTTTCCTCGGGTACCGATTTGTTCTACTGCAAGTCGAGCTATCCAAGGTTTTTCTAAATGTGTACCACCATTTATATATATATATATATATATATATATATATATAATTTCACTTATGTAAGTATAAGGCTTACAAGGACATTGGATATATAGTCCCGACCTATTCTTTTTATTTGTACTCTTATATTATATTTATACACTGAGTACAAGTTTACTTTAATTATATTATGCAGCTATTGATAAGCTTTTCCGGATCAAACTGTACTTCAAAAATATAAGTGCAGTTTTAACCAGTATCTTTTGTTCTACTGCAAGCTGAGCTATCCGAGGTTTACCAAATGAGTACCACCATATATATATATATATATATATATATATATATATATATATATATATATATATATATATATACGCAGTTTTAACCGGTATCTTTTTGTCTTCTTAAGTTTTATTCTTTTATTGTTTTCTCAAATTAATTATGTTTTTTTTTTCTTATATTCTCTCACACTTAGTCACCGCGAGTAACTTTAAAGTAATGCTTGATGTTAAATGATTAAAAAAACGTTGTAAGAATTATAATAATACAAAGTCTTCAGCCCATTTTGTTGTGTCTATTGGTTTGGCCGGAGGCCTTTGCATCAAATATTAAGTTATTCGGAAGACGTGTTTTCTATCCCGGAGAAAATGTAGCTCGTCGCAATTATTTATTTATTGCAGTCTTGCTGAGAACGCCCGCCATTTTGATAATTACGGTGGACAGAATAAAATTCCTTCAATCCGCTTTGATAACAGTGACGAAAACATCCCACCCTGTAAAATTTCGGAAGGGTTTATTGACGCTCGAATTTGAACCAAGATTCGGCACCTTTCAGAAGAGTGGACATTGCCAAAAAAATAAATGCATATAATGATTGCCGGGACCTAAAATAATAGATAACGATTTTTAACAGAAAGATGGCATAAGTTTATAGTAGGTCAGAGAAAATAATCTGATAACTCAATAATGATGCTAGGAAATTTGTCAAAAAACGCTGAATTTTTTGTATCAATTGAATATTTAATTGAATATGCAAAATAGATGACGAAAAAGGTACAGTATTTGTTAACTGAACATTGAATCATAAAAATAAGAAGAACGACATATGTGATAAAAAAAAAGATTCCGTATATATCTGTACCAACATGGTAAGTTCGCTTATCGCCCAGTTCAAACCCCTCTCCAGTGTTTTGAATAGGAGTAGAGGTACATTATTTACATTATTCGGACTATTGTCCTCATCTTTGTCGCCATATTTATCACAACATTTCGGCCGTTCTACGCTCCGACCTTCTTCAGGTGGTTGGAATGTCCAACTGAACCCTTTATTTCGCTCACTGTAGACTGTTCTAGTTCTACGTGCCATGTTTGATGGATGTCAGTTATCAGTTATCTCCTGTTAATTTCCCTCTGAAATACCTTAACGGGGATTGAACTCACACTCTTTGGGTTCTGTCACTGAATCTAACCAACGCCTTTATCCACTGTGTCCTTGAGGACATCTGGGTATAAATTTCTGGGTATTATAAACCTAAATGAAGAAGGCCGGAGCGTACAACGGCCGAAACGTTGTGATAAATATGGCGACAAAGATGAGAAACAGAATATTAGTCCGAATAATGTAAATAATGTATATAATACCTCATCTCAGAAATATAGACAAACTCAGGAGTAGAGGTTTATCCCAGGGTTTCTGTTGGCAATTGGGTTTCCGGTTCCTTTAAAATTCAACTTCAACTCTATACTTCTAACGTCTACGCATAAAAGTCTGATCTCTTATTTAATATTGAATTAACGTTTCTTCTTTTCTTTTCCTTTCCAGGCTTTTGAACAGGAGAAGAAGATTATCCCCTGTTTTCTCTTGACGAGTGGGCTTCCAATTCCTTCTAAAGTATACTTCAACTCTACACTTCTAATATCTCCACCTAAAACTCTGAACTTTTATTTCTTATTGAATTACCCTTTCTTTCCTCAATAGAAGTAGATAGGTTCATCTATCGTCCGGTTCACACTCCTCTCCAGCTTTTTGAACAGGATTAGAGGTATATCCTTTGTTTCCTGCTTAGGAATGGGTTTCCAGTTCCCCTCTCCTGTCTTTTGAACAGGTTTATCCCTTGTTTCTTTTTTAGGATTGTCTTTCTCGTTCCTTTAAAGTCTACCTCCACTCTATACTCCAACCGCTTGTTCTTTCTTATGCTAATACAACTTCACGCAGGAACACTGTCTTAAGTGGCTCTTAGGCCTTGTATTGGGTGAACATCATTAAAAAAAAAAAGCGATTACAAGGGCGCCCGATGATAGTAATCGTCTGTTCATCAACTCAACATCCGCCCACTTCATAAACAATTTGCTGAAAAGACATTTTTTCTCTGTTATGAAGATGATGGAAAAAAAAAATAACTAAAAAAAAAATAACTAAAAAAAATAACTAAAAAAAAATAACTAAAAAAAAATAACTAAAAAAAAAACAAAAAAATAAAAAAATAAAAAAAAAATAACTAAAAAAGAAAAAATCCAGTTTGGCGAACGTGATTTTTTTGCTTGGCCCTCATGAAGTTACTACACGCCATTTTGTACGCCTGATTGCTCGGAGACATCTTATTTTGTTGAACAGGCCCCAACCTGACGACTGATCAAACAAACGCCAACGCCCAGTTGGCCGACAACACCTGTTTGGGTCCCTGATATGCAAACAGGATATCGGTCGCAAATACACCTGTTTCGTTTTGTTTAAATAGTTTTCAGTGACGATTATCGATATTGTTAAATTACTAATCGTAATGTTTATTTTCGTACACTATTTTTATTAAAACTTTTCGCTCCAAAGCAAGGCGATAATGTCACTAAGATGCAAGTAGTCACTGGGAGTGAAAGAGAATGAGAAAACTTTCAGTGGGAGAGAAGTGACGAGAAAGGACAATAAAAAAAACAAGATCCGCTGTAAGGAAAAACAACTAAAAATTAAAATAGACGATTAAAAATTAATAAGAAGAAAATTAATTATGTTTAAGTGTAATTTTTATTATTATGCCAATTTTTTAATTGCTTCGATCTATTAATTCCCACCGTCCCATTTAATTGGTTTGTTTTCTTTCGTTTTACGGCATATCAACACCTCAATGGTTTATTTAATGCAAGGAATAACTTATCTATCTATCTATCTATCTATCTATCTATCTTTTTTAAAATCATTTCAGCCCAAAAAAGCAATGAAGCCACTAAGTCGGCAAGAATTACTGGGAGTGAAAGAGAATGAGAAGGCATTTGTGAGGAGAAAGGACAGTTAAAGAACAGGTTTCAGGAAGACAGAAGAAAGAAATATAGACTGATCCTGAAGAAGGCCAGAGCGTACAACGGCCGAAACGTCATGAATACGACAACGAAGATGGCGACAACAGCCCGAACAATGTAAATAATTGAAATACCTCATCTCAGAAATATAGACAGATCCTGAAGAAGACCTGAGCGTACAACGGCCGAAACATCGTGAATATGGCAATGAAGTTTACGACAACAGTCCGAACAATGTAAATAATGCAAATAACTACAATCCCTCATCTCAGAAATAGAGATAGTGTCTTAAGAAGGCCGAAGCGTGCAACAGCCGAAACCTCGTGAATATGGCAATAAGGATAAGTGCAATAGTCTGAACAATGTAACTTCAACTAAGAAACAGACAGGTACTGAAGAAGGCCGGAGCGTACAACGGCGGAAACGTCGTGAATATAGCAATAAAGATGAAGACAACATCCCTAATAATGTAAATAATATGACGACGATATTATAATGTGATCTAATCTTTATTGTTGTGTTCGCATCGTATCAATGCATCTATGGAAAGGAACGCTAAAATCAATGAGAACGTGGACAAGAGCCCGGGTGCGAAAATGATATTTAATTAGCATTCCTTTTCTCATTCGTACACAACGACCTGCTAACTTTTATGCCTGTACATGCAAAAAAAAAAAATGAATAAATAAAGAAAAAAAAAAAAATAATAAAAAAAAAACAAAGATAGAAGAATGTCTGAACAATGAGATTCGTTAACGACCCTCACAGACCTTCACAGATTGGCGGCCGATCACCGTAGACGTGCGACCACCACGTCAGGCGAAACAAAAAGGAAACCCTTATAGAAAAGGTAGTGATAAAGAAAGCATGAAACAAAGACATGATCGACAATACCATGCCTAATCAATCCAGACGATGCCAATAGATTAACCGTAATTACCTAGCTCACCTCAGTATATTACCCATTATCTACGCTCATCCAGGTTTACGTGTATAAGAGAAATCCGAGACGACACGGCTAACATTCGACCTATTACAGATGGATCCTAACATCCATCGTCGTGAAAACTCAACCGTCACACCATCAGAGCCTCCAAAACAAAACACTTTTACCTTCCATCAGTACAGTTGATGCTAACCTTCAGTAAAGTGAGTCCTTTTTACATTTCCCCTGATATGAAGTGGAAAGATAATACTGAATTAATTGCTAAGTTTGCAGCTAGGAAATTTCGTTCACTGTGTAGGACTAGACAATCTTTCTCGCAATAAGACTATCATTCGTCATTGCTTTGAATATTGCTGCCACATCTGCTCTGGTATACCTGCTATATATAGAGAGAGATTCATGATAAAATCCAAAGAAGAAACTGCAATGTTATTGGTGCTGAACAGGCATTTCGGTTTCAGTCACTTCCCCACCAACGTAACGTAGCTTCCCTGTGCCTTTTCTATAAATACTTACTTGATAATTGTTCTGTTGAAATTTCCTTAATGGTACCTAGACTTTATAAATTTAAACGCAGTACTAGATTGGCGGATAGGTCTCGTCCTTTTACAGTTGAATTAGCGAGATATAACGGTAATTTCTATGGTAATATCTTCTTCTATCGCACTTCTCTCTTGTAGAACTCTCCTGGCTCCATGCTTCCCAGTCAATTTTAAACTTAAAAGATTTAAATGCAATGTCAATCGTTGTTTTCTGTTTTCCTAATTCTTGTTCTTTTATTGTCCTCTTCTCCTTCTCATGGTCTCTAACATTCAGTAAACCCCTTGCGTCTTATTGGCTTTATTTCTTTGCTTGGAGTGAGATATATATATATTTTTTAAATATCCTGTAATAATTGCCACGATTATTACATAGGAGAAACCGCAATGCATGTGTTGCTCATAGTAATATCTGATCATAATCTTGAATTAAAAGAAAATGCTAATCTAATTTTATAATTCTTGGTCTGACCCCGACGTTTTCAAAGATATGGCATCTTCGTAAGAGTTTGGTATTATGCGAAGAGATTCAAGGAACCGGTCACTCTTCAAGGTATCTTTTTCGTTTCATTGTTTTTTCTTTTCTTTTTTTTTTAAGCATTCAACCCCAAGCAAGGCTGGAAGCCACTAGCACGCAAGGGGTTACAGAGAGTTGGAGCGAGAGCAAAGAGGAGTGATAGAAGAAAGGATGAAGAGAAGTTTAGGGGATAGATCAGGGCATCTGGAAATGTCGATTGACATTACATTTGAATAGTTGGAGATTATAGCCATCAGGGAAACAGGAAAAAGTGAGTGAGTTCCACAGACAAGAGGTGCGAGATATGAACCTATTGGAGTAGAAGAGACGGTTACATTTAACATTCGACAGTGAAAGGGTGTAAGCGAGATTCCAGCCTAGTTGAACGCTTAAATTCATGAAGTCTGGGAACCAGCGAAAGCAGCTCATCGGAGCAGTTACCATGAAAGTATTTGTAAAAAAGACAGAGGGAGGCAACTGCACGTTTGTGAGAGATCGACTTAAGACGAGATGCCAGATCAGGGCCAATTATGTTGCATATTCGTCTCTGGATTTTATCAAGGACCTTGAGAAAATTAGAAGAGGCTCCAGACAATATATGGCAGCAATACTCCATGCAAGGGCGAATGGTTGATTTGTAGATTTGAAGGATTGACTCCGGCAAGAAATATTTCCTGGCGCGGCATAGGGAGCCAAATTTCCTAGCGGTGGACGAAGCTATTGAGTCAACGTATTCGTTCCATCTCAGGTCAGCGGACAATGTGAGACCGAGCAGTCGCGAAGTGTTGCTCTCGTGGAGTTGAGCGTCAGACATTCTAATGGGAGGCAGGGATGATGTCGGAAGTGAGCTTTAGAGCCAGTCGGCGTCCGAGGCAAGGAAATTCTTTGAACCCTCATCAAGATGAGTGCAAAATTAGGGTCTGGTCAATAGCTTTATTTCGGAGATACTGAATGATACCACCTTGTTCTTTCCCCCCACTGAGCTGTGACAGTGAAATGAGAACACGGATCAGGTACGAGACACTGGTCATCCAGATATTTGGAGGTGCAACTGTACACCGTATCTACATATATTTCTACTAAGGACCTGTGGATGTTCTTGAGCAGATCGTTAATATAAAGCAAAAATGTGCCTCGTATCAAAGGGAGAGCCTAGAACAGTCATGGGCAAAGTGGTGCCCGCGAGCCACACGAGGCCAGATCCCTTTTTAAATGGCACGCGGAATTTCATAAAGAAAATAACATTTATTAATTTTTTTAAAAATTTAATTTCGTCCTCACTTGTTCACACACATTTTCTCACACACAACCATAGATAAACCATAGATGAAGAATAAGTAAGCACAACGTTTATGGAATTTCGTAACGTTTCGTTGAAGGTAATGTTTTCATCATTTTAAAATTTCTACCATAGCTTTCTACCACTTCTTTTATTTCTGTTTTTCGTGTCCCTTTCATTCGTCTCTTCCTTTTTTATCTACTTTTTCCCTCTTCTTCTTCTTCTTATTATTATTATTATTAATCACCTTCTTACTTCCTTCTACACTTCTTTTTTCCGTCCAGGGTATGACGATAAACTACATCCGCGTCCTGGGTAAGACGATAAACTACGTCCAGCAGCAAGGCCTACGATCAGGAGGTTTTGAAGAGCGTGGAAGGAGATCTTAATTGTTGGTGTTCCCAGGTCCACCCTGACCCGGGGTGGTAGCACCTGTTAGGGTCCCAGCTATAGGCAAATAGGTAAATCCCAAACTGGAGTCAAAGATTATGAAAGTGTAAAAATAGATTTAAATACAAGAAATACTTTGTGTAAAAAAAAAATTATAACCAGCAATACATTAAAAAAAAAAAAAAAAAAAACAAAAAAAAAACAGCAATACAAGCAGGTATACATTCTTTGTAAAATATATGACCAGCTATAGATTTCTTCAAGGAAAATTATTCCCAGAAATAGATTTTTTAAAAAACAACGAAGAAAAATTCTTACCAAAATTAGATTTTTGGTAAAAAAATATTACCAACAGTGTCGGCATTAAACAACCCATTAAGGTTGATATGCCGTAAAACAAAATAAACCAAACCAATCTAAACCAAAGAATACATATTCTATTCATACGAATCTATCCTAAAAATGTTGTCGGCATTAAATAACCCATTGAGGTTGATATGCCGTAAAACAAAATAAACCAAACCAATCTAAAGCAAAGAATACATATTCTATTCATACGAATCTATCCTAAAAATGTTGTCGGCATTAAATAACCCATTGAGGTTGATATGCCGTAAAACAAAATAAACCAAACCAATCTAAACCAAAGAATACATATTCTATTCATACGAATCTATCCTAAAAATGTTGTCGGCATTAAATAACCCATTGAGGTTGATATGCCGTAAAACAAAATGAACCAAACCAATCTAAACCAAAGAATATATATTCTATTCATACGAATCTATCCTAAAAATGTTGTCGGCATTAAATAACCCATTGAGGTTGATATGCCGTAAAAACAAAATAAACCAAACCAATCTAAAGCAAAGAATACATATTTTATTCATACGAATCTATCCTAAAAATGTTGTCGGCATTAAATAACCCATTGAGGTTGATATGCCGTAAAAACAAAATAAACCAAACCAATCTAAACCAAAGAATACATATTCTATTCATACGAATCTATCCTAAAAATGTTGTCGGCATTAAATAACCCATTGAGGTTGATATGCCGTAAAAACAAAATAAACCAAACCAATCTAAACCAAAGAATACATATTCTATTCATACGAATCTATCCTAAAAATGTGGTTGGCATTAAATAACCCATTGAGGTTGATATGCCGTAAAACAAAATAAACCAAACAAATCTAAACCAAAGAATACATATTCTATTCATACGAATCTATCCTAAAAATGTTGTCGGCATTAAATAACCCATTGAGGTTGATATGCCGTAAAACAAAATAAACCAAACCAATCTAAAGCAAAGAATACATATTCTATTCATACGAATCTATCCTAAAAATGTTGTCGGCATTAAATAACCCATTGAGGTTGATATGCCGTAAAACAAAATAAACCAAACCAATCTAAACCAAAGAATACATATTCTATTCATACGAATCTATCCTAAAAATGTTGTTGGCATTAAATAACCCATTGAGGTTGATATGCCGTAAAACAAAATAAACCAAACCAATCTAAACCAAAGAATATATATTCTATTCATACGAATCTATCCTAAAAATGTTGTTGGCATTAAATAACCCATTGAGGTTGATATGCCGTAAAACAAAATAAACCAAACTAATCTAAAGCAAAGAATACATATTCTATTCATACGAATCTATCCTAAAAATGTTGTCGGCATTAAATAACCCATTGAGGTTGATATGCCGTAAAACAAAATAAACCAAACCAATCTAAACCAAAGAATACATATTCTATTCATACGAATCTATCCTAAAAATGTTGTTGGCATTAAATAACCCATTGAGGTTGATATGCCGTAAAACAAAATAAACCAAACCAATCTAAACCAAAGAATATATATTCTATTCATACGAATCTATCCTAAAAATGTTGTTGGCATTAAATAACCCATTGAGGTTGATATGCCGTAAAACAAAATAAACCAAACTAATCTAAACCAAAGAATATATATTCTATTCATACGAATCTATCCTAAAAATGTTGTCGGCATTAAATAACCCATTGAGGTTGATATGCCGTAAAACAAAATAAACCAAACTAATCTAAACCAAAGAATACATATTCTATTCATACGAATCTATCCTAAAAATGTTGTTGGCATTAAATAACCCATTGAGGTTGATATGCCGTAAAACAAAATAAACCAAACCAATCTAAACCAAAGAATATATATTCTATTCATACGAATCTATCCTAAAAATGTTGTTGGCATTAAATAACCCATTGAGGTTGATATGCCGTAAAACAAAATAAACCAAACTAATCTAAACCAAAGAATATATATTCTATTCATACGAATCTATCCTAAAAATGTTGTCGGCATTAAATAACCCATTGAGGTTGATATGCCGTAAAACAAAATAAACCAAACTAATCTAAACCAAAGAATACATATTCTATTCATACGAATCTATCCTAAAAAATGTTGTTGGCATTAAATAACCCATTGAGGTTGATATGCCGTAAAAACAAAATAAACCAAACCAATCTAAACCAAAGAATATATATTCTATTCATACGAATCTATCTAAAAATGTTGTTGGCATTAAATAACCCATTGAGGTTGATATGCCGTAAAACAAACTAAACCAAACTAATCTAATCCAAAGAATATATATTCTATTCATACGAATCTATCCTAAAAATGTTGTCGGCATTAAATAACCCATTGAGGTTGATATGCCGTAAAACAAAATAAACCAAACTAATCTAAACCAAAGAATACATATTCTATTCATACGAATCTATCCTAAAAATGTTGTTGGCATTAAATAACCCATTGAGGTTGATATGCCGTAAAAACAAAATAAACCAAACTAATCTAAACCAAAGAATATATATTCTATTCATACGAATCTATCCTAAAAATGTTGTTGGCATTAAATAACCCATTGAGGTTGATATGCCGTAAAACAAAATAAACCAAACTAATCTAAACCAAAGAATATATATTCTATTCATACGAATCTATCCTAAAAATGTTGTCGGCATTAAATAACCCATTGAGGTTGATATGCCGTAAAACAAAATAAACCAAACTAATCTAAACCAAAGAATACATATTCTATTCATACGAATCTATCCTAAAAATGTTGTCGGCATTAAATAACCCATTGAGGTTGATATGCCGTAAAATAAAATAAACCAAACCAATCTAAACCAAAGAATATATATTCTATTCATACGAATCTATCCTAAAAATGTTGTTGGCATTAAATAACCCATTGAGGTTGATATGCCGTAAAACAAAATAAACCAAACAAATCTAAACCAAAGAATACATATTCTATTCATACGAATCTAAAAAAAAATGGTGTCGGCATTAAATAACCCATTGAGGTTGATATGCCGTAAAACAAAATAAACCAAACCAATCTAAACCAAAGAATATATATTCTATTCATACGAATCTATCCTAAAAATGTAGTCGGCATTAAATAACCCATTGAGGTTGATATGCCGTAAAAACAAAAATAAACCAAACCAATCTAAACCAAAGAATACATATTCTATTCATGCGAATCTATCCTAAAAATGTTGTCGGCATTAAATAACCCATTGAGGTTGATATGCCGTAAAACAAAATAAACCAAACCAATCTAAACCAAAGAATACATATTCTATTCATGCGAATCTATCCTAAAATCTTGTCGGCATTAAATAACCCATTGAGGTTGATATGCCGTAAAACAAAATAAACCAAACAAATCTAAACCAAAGAATACATATTCTATTCATACGAATCTATCCTAAAAATCTTGTCGGCATTAAATAACCCATTGAGGTTGATATGCCGTAAAACAAAATAAACCAAACCAATCTAAACCAAAGAATATATATTCTATTCATACGAATCTATCCTAAAAATGTTGTTGGCATTAAATAACCCATTGAGGTTGATATGCCGTAAAACAAAATAAACCAAACAAATCTAAACCAAAGAATACATATTCTATTCATACGAATCTATCCTAAAAATGGTGTCGGCATTAAATAACCCATTGAGGTTGATATGCCGTAAAACAAAATAAACCAAACCAATCTAAACCAAAGAATATATATTCTATTCATACGAATCTATCCTAAAAATGTAGTCGGCATTAAATAACCCATTGAGGTTGATATGCCGTAAAACAAAATAAACCAAACCAATCTAAACCAAAGAATACATATTCTATTCATGCGAATCTATCCTAAAAATGTTGTCGGCATTAAATAACCCATTGAGGTTGATATGCCGTAAAACAAAATAAACCAAACCAATCTAAACCAAAGAATACATATTCTATTCATACGAATCTATCCTAAAAATCTTGTCGGCATTAAATAACCCATTGAGGTTGATATGCCGTAAAACAAAATAAACCGAACCAATCTAAACCAAAGAATACATATTCTATTCATACGAATCTATCCTAAAAATGTTGTCGGCATTAAATAACCCATTGAGGTTGATATGCCGTAAAACAAAATAAACCAAACCAATCTAAACCAAAGAATACATATTCTATTCATACGAATCTATCCTAAAAATGTTGTTGGCATTAAATAACCCATTGAGGTTGATATGCCGTAAAAACAAAATAAACCGAACCAATCTAAACCAAAGAATACATATTCTATTCATACGAATCTATCCTAAAAATGTTGTTGGCATTAAATAACCCATTGAGGTTGATATGCCGTAAAACAAAATAAACCAAACCAATCTAAACCAAAGAATGCATATTCTATTCATACGAATCTATCCTAAAAATGTTGTTGGCATTAAATAACCCATTGAGGTTGATATGCCGTAAAACAAAATAAACCAAACCAATCTAAACCAAAGAATGCATATTCTATTCATACGAATCTATCCTAAAAAATCTTGTCGAAATTAAATAACCCATTGAGGTTGATATGCCGTAAAACAAAATAAACCAAACCAAACTTCTTCTTTAGCGTCCCACCTCATCATAAAACCTAGGTTGATAAGGCTATCCTACGCACATGCACCACTGTCAAATATACCCGATATGATGAATCGATTTAAAAGTAGCAAATATGTGTGTAACGTGCGTAATATTATGCTGATCGTGCTCATCTTTGCAAAAGAGAAATAAATAATGAAAGAAACCCGTACTACTCAGTTAAAATCACTAGCAGCGATGTTGTCGAGACGATCGACTTTTACTCAGGTCATAACGGCAAACACCCGAAAAAATGCCTTTTCTTTTCCCTGGTTGTAAACGTAAGCCGACGGTTGGACAATATCAGTTCTTTTTTCCATTGTTTCTTTTCAATGGCGTCTGCAAACGGATCGATGATGAGTTGCTAGCCTCTGAAGTCACTAAGGTAATATTGGACGCATCGATTAGACCTATATGAGGTTAAGGCATGACATTCACACT